GGCTACCACGCTGGGCAGGGAGAGGTCCTGACTCCCTATCGTCTCTGCCAGCTCCCGGCGCTGCTCCGACCATGCGCTGCACACACGGAGCGTGTGGAGCGCGGTGTCCACTGCAGCGTCACAGTGGTGGCAGGACGGGGACTCCTCTCTTCCGATCCGATGCAGGTACTGCCCGAAGCATCCGTGCCCTGACAGCACCTGTCTCAGAGTACCTGGAACTAGTGGATTTTTTAAGCATTTTTAATTAAGAATATTCTCTAATGAATTTTGAAATTTTGTGTAAGCATGGCATTTTTAATGGACGTTTGTTCAATTGCAGGCGAGAATTATTGAGTATTTTTCCAAGCACATTTCAAAGCTATGAATGCTATATTATCCATCTTAACAAAAGCTCACTATTAGCACTAACTTATCAAATGCACCTACCACCCAAGGCTAGTGTAACTAGTCTTTAACTAGGCAAGGAGAATTTAACTTGAACAGTGACAGTTTCTTAGTAGTAGATACTAGAGTTAGTTCATTTATTTATATAGATAGTTCCAAAGTCCACTAGATAAACTATTATGATTTTTACTTTTCTATCTCACTCACTCTTAAACGATTTCACCAGATGAGCTACTACTTATTTATAAAAAAGAAACAGACGCGATTCATTCGAAACGACCTTGAACACAATTTTTTGTTTGTGTCCGCTTAGACAGCGTGGAAGCACTTAACGATACGTAATATATAGGAAATAAGGAAGCTTATACCCGTTTTTACTAACCTAGAACTAGGCATAGCTTAACTAGAAATCACTTAATATTAGGAATAGCTTAAGCAGATTTGTCGTTTCACCAAACCTGTAACGTTAGGTAATGCCTTACTAAGCACTTACTTAGTGAAGCAACATTTGTGTATGATTGATTTTGCATGCTTCAGTTCCTGTTCTTTTTTTTTGTATGGCATATTTGCGTTTACACAATTCCGTCTATGTTAGTGGCCTTTACATGTATAGAGGCAGCAAAAATAGGAATAAAACAAAAAAAATATGTATACGTGATCTTGTATTTACACGAGCACCCAAGTGGTCACTGTCCATTTATAAAAAGTGCGAAACATCAAAAAATCTTATCGTTTATTTCTTAACTCTAATATATAAACTCTTTGATTCCAACTTACTAAATTGATTTTATCCCTTCACACATCCGTTATGGCCAAAGAGTAAATATATGTCACTTTACGCAAATACCCAGCGCTTGGCGCCGCACAATGCATGTCAGCATAAAGGCTCCTAGCTTTTCCGTCGACATAAGAGTAACGAAATTCTTCAGAAGAAAAGCTTTGAAGGAGAAAGAAGTCGTGGCTCCTAAATATCAGAGAATGGACTAGAATACGATCTGATCCGACGCGCGGATGCTAGGAACGGTTGCAAGAAGCTGATATACAACCGTCACCATAGGCAGTTCTAGAAAAAGATAAATCTATTTAAATCTAATCGGTCACTTATAGAATCAATGATTAACATAATAACTATCAATTAGCTCTCTTTGAAAATATAAATACGTAGATCAATTGAACGCCTCTCATAATTTTATTACCATATTGACCCCGATAGTTCTCTTTTACGATGCATATTTATTATATTTTAGATTCAAGTATAGTCATATAACCCAGGATTTCTCGGGTCAAGAAATTTAATCACATTCTAATTTACCTATATAATACCATTATCACGTTTTATCAAGTGCAAAACTTATTGTCTAGCACAATTCCAAATATTTGTATTGATACTTAAACGAGAGCGATTCATCTTGAATGGTTTGTTGTGATTAGATTCTCCTTGTTTTTCCATACTAAAGTTACACTAGGCCCATCTATCGGTAAAATCTGTAAACTTTGGAAAATGTTTCTGTCTGTAACTGAAAATGTGTAAAAGCATACGCACCTCGGTCACGCTCCATACTAGGGCAAATCTGAGAATCCCGCTGACGACCCTAACTATGACGCTAATGATGATTGCCTTGATTTCCTTTGTTTACGTTTTTTGGCACCGGCAATCTGCAGTGCGCAATTCAAATGATTAGTCTAATTATCCGTTGTTTATTCATTGCGTATATCGTTGATAATCCTTATGTTTATAGTAAGTATATAAAAAGTAGGTAGATCCGTTAATACGTGATCCACTCCCATTAGTTATTAAGAACAAAACTTATGTAAAAATTACGTATTGTAATTTTACGTTGAAGATATCGATTCGAACTTGTCCACTTTTCCCGTAGCAGATCTTGTTTCGTTATTGGCATACATAAATCTTAAATATTATTGCCTTACCTTACAATCACTTTGATGATCTAAGCATTAAATATGTAGTCAAGACTTCTTTATGAGGTACAAGCGAACCGCATTGTAAATCATCGTAAATCGCTACAAGGATTTACTCCAAAATTATTTTGATCAAATAGCTTCCACATCGTGCCTAGCCACTTTTTCAAGTGCGCGACACATGAAGGAGAATATGTATTAAGATGTCATGACAGCTAGCAAATAAGGTAAAAGTGCAGACAACTTTTCTGATGAGTTGTCAAAATTTTTGTTTTTTTTTTGACACCAGATTATGGAGACATACAGGCAGGGATTAAAAATGACATCGTAATAGAGCACATTAAAATTCCAGTCACGGAAACTATTATCATGTAGGCTAGGTAAATCTCTTGTCTCGACCCACCTTCCGAGTGAACATTCCTTTTCGATGAGTGTTACTGAACACCCGGTCGTCAGCTATTTATCGTACCTATTGATTGCGTGCATTCATTCAACCATTTTATCGATTGCGACCCCCCCACCACTTACTAAGGGTTATCAGTACCGAAAACTTCATTAAACTTATATTGAGATCTTTGCAGTATGGTAAAGTCAAAGTACAGTGAAATAATACTTAATTTTTCATTATGGTATAACCGAGTAATTAAGATAAGAAGAAAAATAACAAAAAAAGCGCCATTTATTTATGTCGGCATTAGACAAGATTTTGGATTGTAGCCAACTTTTTTTTTGTTAAAATTATTTTTTTCATTATTTTCACATCTGATTGTTAGCGTTTTCTATTTCATTACTATTATTCGTGTACTCTTTGATGATAGTGTAATTGTGAGAGCGGCAACCCTTAACGACATTGAATATACGTTGAAAATTAATTGGGTCATAGCACTACAGGTTGGCGTTTGTCGTATTCGAGTAAAGTTTCAGTTTATTCATTACGTGTCTATAATTCTACTTAGTATTAATATTTTATTTTTTTATGGTAAATCCGTCATCCACACCACACCAGCCCTTTAACGTCCCCACTGCAGGGGCTGAGGCCTTCCTTATGGATGGTTAAGGAGGATGGGCCATGACCCTCCACGCTGGCCCAATGCGGATTGGAGGGTATTAACGACTGCAAATGCAGCCGGGACCAACGGTTTAACGTGCCTTCCGAAGCACGGAGTAGCTCGAGACAATAATTTTTGGTCACCCATCCCGTGACCGACCCTTGCGAAAGTTGCTTTATGACTACGATCGCGGGCCGCGGCGCTTATTCAATACGCCACCGAGCTACTCATGCTACTCATACTCAAATCCGTCATGTCTCTTGGATATTTTTAGAACGACGTAACGTAAAAAAATTGGATTTTTTTTTTTTTTTTTTTTTTCGGTTCTCAACCTTATGGGTTCGGAACCACCTTCCCATCAACGGAGGAAGGAGGCGGTGAATCCTTCATTGGATACCCACACAGCCGGCTGTGGGGGTTATGTCAGACTCCTACTGACTAAACACCGCCTTGGACTAATGGTTACACGCCCGGAGGCAACGAACCTTCAACTGAGCGACCGCCCCCCCTCAAGGGGGGGGGGCGGCGCAGAGGGGGGGGGGCGGCGCAGAATAAAAAAAAAAAAAAAAAAAAAAAATTGGATATTCTACACTACTTAAATACCATATCTTCAAAAGCTTGGTATATGAGAATACATTCTAGGAATTTGGCATGTCTAAAAAGTTGTATAACAGAGAAATTGTAACCTAGAATATCAGCTAATATATAATAGGATAGCATTGAAAATGTGTCTATAGTTTCGTATTATTCACCTACTAAGAATTTTATAATTTGCTATAAGTTAATCCTTTTGGTATCTTAGGTCATTTGAACATTGAAATTCTGACTTATAATATAATTTAAAAGACTAATGCACAATCACTTAAGGTTTTCATTGAAGTGCACCATGCTTTGGGTCTATCATTTCGTGACACTGATAATATTGCTAAAACTAAAATTAAAGCTACTGCGAAGGACTATTACATGGAAACTACAGTCTCTCGTCATTGGATTGCATCGGACGTGGCTAGAAATAATATTCATTTTGCAAATGAGCTTTTAAAACTTAGTTTGGAAAAGGCCTGTAACTTATATTGATACACTACAAGGCAATTTGATAGTACAAATTTTGCTCTATTGTAAAAGAACTGATTGTAAACACGTTTTAAATTTTCGTGTAATTTTAGTATATGGTCTGACCATTATCGTTCATCGTGATTAAGTATATTGAATAAATTTTTTGTCGATCATGTATTCTGACTCTTCATTAGAGACTAGGTTAAGGACCGGGAGTTCATTATAATGATAAATGCTTTTAGTCAGTCTTTTTATCATTTATATATCATACTCGGAAGGTAGGCACTGAAGCCTTTTTGGCCACCTGGGAGTACAAGGCGTGCTAATTAACGCATAAGCAAAACTTTTCGGTGTAAGTTAAATGTTGAATAATGGCAAATCTAACAAGTAATAGCTGTGATGTGTAAATGTTCATTTTCTCGTAACTTGTAAATGGTTATATTCTAAGATCATAGATTATAAACCAGATAGAGTAGATTACAAACCCAGGTCTTTAAACCTAATAATAAGCTATTAGAATTAAAGTTCTTTATTTTTTCTTGATTTCAAGATTTCCACTATTTAATAATTTTTATTTTTTTCAAATTCCAGCGCAAGCAGATGCCATAGACCGAGCGAGATTAGCACGAGAAAGACGGGAGGTCGAACAGAGAAAGCGGCTGGATGAGTTACGCGCGCACGCGGCCGCCGCACAGGCACAACGCGAGAAACGAGACGAAGAGAGGCGGCGGCGGCAGGCGGAGCAGCGAGCGAAAGATGACGACAGAAGACAACAGGTACAGCCACTGGTCATACAGCATTAGTGCTGATTTACAAGGAGTCAGTGTACGGGCCAATAACCGGCGTCAGTGTTGGCGTTGAAAACTGACCGCACTGTTTACTCGGGTTCCGCACTCGGTAGTCGTGGTAATGTCTTCACGGTTCAATTTGACTTAGTAGACTCTGATCAAGCGTCCGGTGCGGTACCTGATGCAGATTATCTCAGGTGCACAACAATGCTTTCACCTGGGTCTTCAGAACAGGTCCTATTGGTTAATGAGCCCTGATTTGAGCAAGAGGAATAAATAATTGAAGCTTGCGGTACATTTTACTTGCGTTAACAAAAACGGCCAATACTGATGATTTTAGACGAGGCAGGAAGTTTACACGGCGTCGTTACGTTGATGCTAGCTCCGAAAATTGAGCGCACTGAAACTGACTTCTTACGAGCGGCTGGTAATTAATAACTAACGATATGGTACCCGTTGAAAAGACTTACCTAAGTCGATTGCTGGTCTACTGTTAACGTGGCTTTTATCTATTTAGTTGGACGTATTTTTTCGTGTAACCTCTATCAGATTGGTGTTTGAATGAGGCTAATACAGATAGCTTATACTTAATACACAATATACTAAATAAATATATATATATATATATATATACATATCTTATACGCAATTATACTAAATAAATTCCCCTAGTTGTGATTTTTATCAATTCTCGTTAATCCAGTACTGAAAAAAATGATGGAAAAAGTTCGATGAGTCTACAGCTAAGGTTCAATATACAGAAAATTCTATTATGTTGCTCTACTTAGTTGTAATTTCCGATTCATTTAACACGTTCAATTATATTCAGGATATAGATATCCAGCAAATATGTAAATTTTACTGGAAAATATAGCTGCTAAATAATTTTGAGGGTCAATCGGTATGCATCCCCATTTCTACTTTCATAAGTTATTAAGTTTCTAATCTAAAAATGATTGTTATTCTTGGCTTAAATTTTTCTTTATACGTTATATTATATTATGATAATATAACTTTCGAGTGATATTTGGCAAATTATAATAAAGGCACTTACAAGTATGTGTACCATAAAGTAACACGTAAAATAAACCATTTTCGCTCTATATAATAAGATTCCAGTATAATTGATTGATGGATAAGTGTAGTCAAGTAAACAAAGTCTGCCACTGACGGTAATGTGAACAGACATATTTATCATTTGTCTAATCTATTCTAATTGTATCAATCACCACATATCAATGTTTGTTTTTTTTTCAATCTTAACACAAACATATTTTATTAAGTAGGTATTTCTGTAATATCTCCTAATATGTTGTTTGAAGCCACAAAATATGTTACTTTCAGATATATTCAGCAATGCAATCTTTAAGATTTAGATTTATCTAAAATTAGAGTGTCATTGTTATCAGCGTTCATATCAACACTAAAGACAAACAAATGTGCAGTAAATAATAGCAATTGAAGCTTTCATTGGGACTGTACAAGTTGCATCTCAGGCTACATCACACATCGCATACGTCGAACATCGCACACAACACCACTTTCACCAATCCAGTAAAATAATAGACGTTACGACAGTGAAAATTAGAAATTACTTATAGGCTAACGCTAAAACAAAACTATGTGAACGGAAAATAATAACAGGTTACGTTGCGGTACTCAACATAAACACTGACTAAGGTATGTTAGCCATTGGAACTAGAGCCGAAGGTACAGTAGGTCCAATAATGGAATACTGAGGACGTAAAGTGGAGCGGACAAATTCATTTGCCCGTGCAGCTAGCACGCCGCAGTCCACAATCATTTCTGTAAAACGATATAGTGAATTTCCAACGGTCTGCTGGTACTTTACAAAATAATGTCTACAGAAAGTTGTGAAATTAATGAGGCTCGTATAATTGAAAGCGGAGTTTCACAGTTTCAAATCCTCGGCCGTTGAATGAGAGTACTGCTATTACTACTACGACGGCGGTGTATCGAGGTTGGTTGTCTACAAAGATTTTTGTATACTTTAATTTCAATATACATTCATTGAAATCCAAATTCTATTCGCCTTAATTGCCTTTCTCTCGGTTTTAAGGCATATTACGATATCATCTCTACGATCAATTAGACCTTGATTACTTTGGTACTAATTAGTCTGTCGGTTGTTGATAACTTTGAACTCTTAGTTTTTCCAATATGTAGTTTTTAGTGTAGTTTAACATTTTCACAACTTAATACGAGTATATTGATCTCATACATTTCACAGACATATAATAATTGTATCTGTTACTTGTCACAGAACTTAATTTGCTTTTTCTTTACAAAAATCTGCCAAATGTTTCATAGATGCAAGTTTCACGAGATAGCATCATAAACACAATTTTTTTTACATTCAATGTGAGTGACGTAGTTGTTGTATAACGCGTCCTTGCCTAGATGATGTCACCGTTTCTCGGTTATCTATTGTAATGATCGCATCGGGTTCTTTCTAATATAGAAACATCTAACTCGTTATTATTAACTAAAGCTTGTTTTGATAAGGTAATACCGTAGACCTTACAATACTATGTTATGCTTATCAATATTATTCATATAAGCGATGTGATGCTGATGCAATTTCATATCTGAAACCTTTACATAATAAAGTGTATCTTTATTATGTAAAGGGAAATGGGAAAAATATTAAAAGTAGGCTTATTCAAAAGTAGAATATTAAAAATAAACGACCCAGAACATTATTTATTTGGAAACAAAAATAAATTCTTATCCATTTACTCAGAATTTAAAATCCTTTTTGATACTTGTACTATGTTGTTATTTGAATAGTTGATAAATAAACTCGAGAGACAATAGAAGATGAATAAAAACACGATCATGCTACAGTAGTTTTGATTATATAAACAATGTTTGTCGTAAACCTATTCCTTCGTAAACGAAACGAAGTACGAAGGAATAGCTTTGTAAATTACAAATTAAAAGACCTTAAAGATAATCTCGATCACCATATCTTCCTTTTTCCGATATCATGTTATCGTTTTCTATCAGCTCCATAAACGCATTTATTATATTTGAATTGAACTTGGACGAGTGTTATTGTACCAGGTGACCGGGTCACACACGGTTACATAATCTATTGTCAATTATGAGGTCACGCGTAGTGTGACTCGCCAGTGCGTGTGCGCTGATGATTGATAGATATTTCTGGAATTATCACTACATGACATTTTGCTCAAGTGTGATTTAATTATGACACCTCTGTTTATTGGTTCATTGATTTGCATAAATACTTGTATCATTGGAATTATTGAAGATAGCTTTAACTTTATTGAATAACAAGTTGTTTGCAAGGTTTTTAGGTCAAGGCGTCATCAGCCACTTACAGAAACTGTGTTTAATCTAAGTAGGCTTTCCTCTTTTATCACTTTAAATTTGGCATCTAGCCAAATTTCCACGCTTAAATAGCAAAACTAATTGATTAATTTAATTGAGTAACGACTTTCATTTTCCTATGCATGGTTTTATGTTATTTCGGCTTTGAATGTTCGTGTCTGTAACACTTTAATTCCTCCACCGTAGATTTCCTAAAACGATTAAGATCTAACATCTCGCAAGCCATTCTGCATACTATTGTTATATATATAAACATGAATGACGCAGTCAAACGCTTTAGTGAAAACGGTGCGTACATATCGAACACGGAAACACGTTCTCTCACCCGACTCTACGAAACTCAAATGTTCCGAGCATTCTTACCGGTATAATGACTTATATAGAAATACTCCGCGTTGTTGTAGTGCATCAAAAATATTTAAAATTAACTCCCGCCACGCGGCTGTAAGGAGCCGGGACAAAAATAACATGCGCCACTTCCTTCAGGACTATTCGTACGGTATTATAGTTTGATCAAACAGATTGGTGATATACTCGTACATAGCTGCTTGTGTGTACCGATCAGATAATCATAAAGTGATTCCAGTATTTTACAAATTTACAATTAAAGTTATAGAATTATTTGATTGTTGCGATATAGTGTTTATCGTTTGTGATCTGTTTGGAATACCTATGCCAGCCAAGAATTTTGTGAGTACTGTTATTAATAATTTTGTTGGTAAATGAAACGAATGTGAATGAACCTGGCCGCTCGTGACTGTATTGCGATCAGAATTCTGCTTATGCTGCTTTTTTTGTTGCCAATTAAAATTATACTAAATTAAGGTAAGGTTAACATGACGAAACAAACTTTGTCCTACGATGAATTCATGTAAAATGGAATTGAAATTTCAGTTATTTTTTATATAGACACAGTTTAATTGATGATACTCTTTTAAATTGTACAGTTTATATGAAAGATCTAGTATAATTTTATTTGGAATTAATTCATTTGGTAAAACGACATAAAATTTTAAATATGCTTGAGGATTATCAGTTATTTGACGTTATGCTATTTCATTGTAACTGAATAATTGGTTATATGTACAAAATCACTACGCTTACACGTATTTTTAAATAATAAGAAAGTGAATTCAAAGTGGAATGTATTCTATTTGAAAGTTTCTTACATTTTAGCTCATGTTATATATGTGACAGCTAGAGAAAGTCTCTGAAAGATAAAGACGACCACTTTATATCTGATTACGAATAAGGAACAATTCGTATGTAACTGTATCGAATCGGCGCTGTTACTTTCGCTAGAGATACATCTTTCTTTACTAAAAAGACGTTAAATATTATCAAAGTTATCACGGATCATGTTTTATAAAGTGGAAAATCTCATTGTTAATATATTTTTTTGCTTTAACTGTCTTTTTGGTATATGTAATTATGTTGACTTCGCTAATAAAGATTAATATAATTCTAAATTCATGAGTATTACGTTTATTTCTTAACTTCACTCCGCTTTTGTATGCAAAGAGGTATTTTAGTTTTCGATCATGAAATACCTAGTATTTAGATCATAAATTATGTCTTAAAAAATTTGCGTTGAAAAGTGAAAACATTTGGCATTGACACAGTTGGCTGCATTATTTGAATAACTAAGAATGTGGTTGCTAAATAAGCGGTGACAGTGTTGTTGGCGATACAAACGTCTAGATAAGATTAAAAAAGAAAACAATATTAATGTACATAGGATTCACGACACTTTTATTTTCTTTGTAATTAATGTCACTCGAGTATTGCTTTTTATATAGATCATTAGATCTACATAAAACAAATTCCTTGAAGATGGTCATTTATAGTTACAACTACGTAACTAATTATCTAACTAACTCATCAATTTACGAGTAGTACTTAAATACTTAATTCATTGTTTTTTCTGGACCAAGTTTGTGTATAGTATCAAACACATTGCCCAGATTATTTTGTTATGTTATTATAAAACGATAGAAATGCAATTTGAATTAATTAATTTCTTTCGTAATCTCCTGTCTGTGATTATGTTACATATAAATGAAAAAATATATATTTATTAAACATTTAACAAATTAAACAAATATAAGAAGAATACCTTAATACAGTAATCACAATATATAAAAAGAAAACCATAAATTAACCTAAATTATAATAATATTCTATGCAGTGTTCAAGTGGTCCTGGCTCGATATGGTCCTGCAGCAGTTATTAGGAAGGAATCACGAGAATGCACTTATAATAGATGTAGATAATGCTAATGTTACACTTATAAATCTTTAGTTAAAACAAATGAAGAATATTTAAAACATCGAATATTTTGTTAGGTACCACCATAAGCATGTGTGATCGCTCATTTCGCAGACGCGTACCCGGACGATCGTCTCGCGAAAATATCTCATGTTCCATCCGACATTGGCCGTCACTAGCCTTGAGATTAAAGCGTCTTATGTCTGTCAGCGCTGCTGTTTCGGAAACGTCGATGTAAATAAGTATTTGATTTGTAGAATAGAACAGTTTTCTCTTTGCAATTTGGCGTTAAGTTCTAGCTAGATAGCAAAGAAAACAACAAAATAATATCCTATACGTGGCTACACTTGCCAGCAGTTAAATATTAATACTCTCTCATTCAAAATAATCTGATAGCCACGACCATCTCAAAGGCACGTGTTTCTTTCACTTTCAACGGAATATATGTATCGTTTTAATACGCTTTAGATTTTATTATTGAAATCATCACCCAGTTGCTTTTTCCCGGAGATATTGATGATTTATTATACATAATTTAGTTTCTAGAATGAACGATACATTTACGATAAGAATTATGCCATTATGCATTATATTGAAATCATAAAAAAAAACAAGATTAAGTTAATTAAAAATTGATCCTCATTTAGCTGTTTCAATGACATCGTATACTTATCTTCTATAGTAATAATTAAATATTGGATATCACTAATTTGCACATACAATTATATATATTATCTTCGGTCATAATACAACTTTATGAAAACGAAAATAATATTAAGAAAATAATTTTCTCTTACGGTTTTGCAAACAAAAAGACAAAATATTAGAGGCCGTATCCGCATTTATGGTTTTGCACAGTTGGTTAAGTGTCTAGACGGTTGGGGTGAATTACCTCTAATGCACAATGTTTTCGGTTCATAGATTTGAGGTGAAGGTGTGGAACGGTATTATATTTTTATAGGACGGCCGAGTCGAGCAAATGTGAAATGGCAGCGTTTACTGAGTACTTTAATTAAATGAAAATTAGGTTCAATTTGATGAAGAAAAAATCTATAAGTGAGTCAAAAATACGTAAACATGGGAGATAAAATCAAATCCAGAAAAGAACTTTGGAAAATGAAGGAAGCAGACCTTAGTCTTATTTGTGTTAGTCATAAAAACCTATTTTAATACCATTATTTAGATATTACATGTTTTTTAAAATGAATGTGGAATTTGAGTTTTGTAAACACAACTAAAAATATTTCTTTTGATTGATATTTATCTTTTGTTTTTACTTCTTTTTATCTGTTATCATTATCAGTGATGACCAATTCTGAAGATACATTGACGGAAGTGTTATAAAACGATTCCCGATCTGTTTGAGTATTGGATGGAGCCTATTTATAAAAAAAATAATTCGTCTTTAGAACTAGGCTTACTATTCTTAGATGTATTTGTCATTTATTTAGTTTTTCTTATGTTTGTGTGATCTGCGAATATAATGTAACATATTCTTTATATGTCAACGGTCTTTATTGTCTTTCCTTTTTTTCTCATAGTGTTTCCCCCTAATACATTACTGAGAAATTTAGTAGTTTTCTTCGAATCATTGTTCTGTCACCGTAGATAAGGAAATTAATCAGACATCCTGCTATCCTTCGTCAGTTGATTGTGATTCGCTATGTGATACAATCGTGTTGTGCAAAAGTGTTGGAATGACTAAACAGGTTACTTTTGTTAGTTCTTTTTATTATTATTCTTTGTTATTTGTTGCCGTTTACTTACTATAGTTTATATATTTAGAATTTCTAGTTTACAAATAGCACCAAATCTTGCATTTCTTCTTCTTAGATGTGCATAAATTTTACTTGTTAAAGCGTAGTAATTTGCCCTATTGAATGTGTCATTTAAACTTCGTCGAGTTATTATTATTCATATTGCCGACGGTCTACTGTTTCTTCAAAAAGTTTTTATAATTTTGCTAAAACTATTTCCGCATCAATGAAATTGCCAGGCGGTACACCAGTTGCTTAATGCATTATCAATCAATATGTTTTAAGAAATTGTAATAGTCTTGGAATTATAGGTATTTCGTTTTCGGGGAACAGATTAAGCTCCTGGTCCTTGTATTACTAGAGACCAATCGAGTCTACAGTCACTCTCTTTGTCCTTTAACATCCTCCTTTACTTAGACTTTAATTATGTATTTTCTTCGCATTAGTTATTACAACAATACTTGTCTATTTTGCGTACATTTCTTAACTTTCCCATTAAGATCGTCTGCTACATACATAGCTACAGGTTCGTAAAGTTTGTATGGATTTTAAAATAATTAAATAGATTACTATTCTTGCGAGCTCGTTGGCGCAGTAGCCACATGTTTAGTCTGTGATACGGAATTCAAGCAACTTTTGCAAAGGCGGTCATAGGATGGGTGACCAAAATTTACTATCAAGTCTCTGGTCCCAGCTACTGCAAAATTGAAATCCGCTCTAGACCCGCGTCATAGCCCGGTCATTGCCCATTCTTCATATTCGGTTCCGTCCATACGGAAGACCTGAGCTCCAGTAGTGGGAACATTCATAGACTGGTGATGATGATGTGATGATGACATTACACTCTTATTTTGAAGGTGGAGGAGCGCAAGCGAGCGATATGGGAAGCGTCGATATCGAGGCGGGAGGCGTTGTTACAACGCGAAAAGGACCGTACCGAGCGTCTCGAGCGAGCGAGGCAAGCGCGCTCGGCGCCCCGGTCGGCCTTCGCCTTTGGCTCCTCCACACCGCGACTGCTGGAGCCATTAGATTCAGCTGGATTCTTCTGGGCTGCGCGCAGGTTAGTACCAAATCTTATTTATGTAAATGTTGCCGGCGTTCTAATTAGAAGATTAAATTAAATACATTATTACAGAGAATACTTTTTAATTTTATTTCTGATAGATCCAGGATTCGTTATCTGTATGAAGCTATAGGAAAAGCACTACATCGTTTAAGATATAAAGACGTTTGGCAGATATTGACGTTATTCACATATATTTTTGTAGAAAGAAAATCGTAAACTATATTGTTTTACGACATATTATTAAAATGTTAGAATGTATGTGATTACAAAAACACGACATGTGGCATTCTATTATTTTCTAGATGACGGCTGTAATAATTTTTGTTCACTTTCCATGTCGCATTAGTCATTTTTTATCAGACTAGAAACTATGGAGCGACAGGTACACTGAGTAACTCTCATTATGATTAATTAAGGCTATTCTCTTGAATTTGCACAACAGACAAGTAATGACTAAAGTAAATATTATGTCGAGAACCACCAAGTGTGAATTTTAAACGTCCACAGTAATAATCGGACGAGACAGATTCCTTATTAGGCAAATTGAAACCTGAATCACTCCAAAATGCTAATGCAAGTTGTTTTTATTTATATTATTAGCTATTTTACGCATAGCTTAAAGCTGTAGGATGCCTTTTTTTATTTTATTCAGGTGTCGGGCTTTTTATCACTGTGTTCTCCCTATTTATTTTTCTTTATTTGTGTTCTAATTTGTTGTTTTTTTATTTCTGTTTTGCCCCACATCGTCCAGTACCAACCCCATAGATCAGATGAACTTTTTTGAATCACTGTAAGCAGTTTTTTTTATTCTATTCCATGTTTTACTTTACTAATTGTTATTAGTTTTTTTTTAGTTACTAATTAAAAATGAATGCGTTATTGAAACAGGATTAGATCTTAGATCATGATAACAATATTATTAGATATCTTTCTAATTTGATCAATGTAGCTGAGTGTAGTTAATCTAATTTTAGATGTTATGCTATTTTGTAGTTAGATGAGATTGTTTTGCATGCTTGAGCTATTGATTTGTGTTCTTATGCATGCTTTGTATTATAGTATTTTTTGTACCATTATAAATAAAACGACTATTGTACTTGTAATAAAAATTCATTGTTTATTTGAAAAAACATACTTGTATTCGTAACAAGAAAATCCTCCATTTGGTATTAATTGATTTTGAATTCCTAATATTGAGATATCCACAAAAGAAGCCTGATGCTTCGACCTTACTCATGAGATAATTAGTTGGTGTGAGATGTACAATTAATAAATAGTTTGTCATTTGGTTAAAGCATATCGATGTTTGTGAAAGATATCGGAAAAATTATGCTGGCTCCTTACTTACTGCATTGCATAACACAAAGTTATTGTATTTTTCGTAGAAATAAGTAATACCTTTTACAGTTTCCCAATATAAGCTATCTTGATTAGAGCTAAATTTCAAGATAAGATAATCGCCATTTAAAATATGCGTAATGTTAAATTTTAATTAAGTATAAATTGCTCGGGTAAATACATCTGTCTGTATATATAATAACACATCTGTAAGAAGAGTCTTACCTGGAGAAGACATTGTCCTCATTTATCTGAAAGTTGGTCTGTAAAATGTGTCTTATAAAATATGTTTATATTAAAAAAAACTTCTCATGCAAAATCAGGAAATTATCTAATATCTAAGATTTTCGATTAATAATGTAATGCTTATAGCAACTATGGCGTACGTGAACGGCGTACAGTCGATAACGGTATCAATGACGTTTATATATCTATCGATAAATAATAAACATGATATGCGAAGCATTCGCTTAAACGGTCTTATTCCGGATAAAAATAAACAATAAATGATTCTCACTTAACAAAATCCTGAGGTATCGTTAAAGGTATCAGATAACAACACTACATTGGTTAAATTTCAAATCGAGTAATGAAGGGTCCTTTTTTATGAAAATCTGACATTAACGAAGTTAACACCACACCAATACCCGACACAATCTAGGACACGTAATGTTCTATATCGATCTGGCCAGGATAAGAATCTTTGAATCTTAAAGAGATAGGGACGAATAATTTGTTATTCAAACATGAAAATTATTAATGCATAACCATAACTGTTTTATTTTTTGCTAAATCCATACTTATATACATTATATTATATTATAAACAGGAAAACTTTCTTTGTTTGCATCGAACTGGCTCCGGAACTACTGGAACTATTTAAAAAAAAAAACTGTTATACCTATGTATAGCTACATCATACGGGATTGACATATGTACGCTATAGGCGTGCGAAGTCGCGGGATAAAATCTTAGATCATATATAAGAATACAGTTTCATTTTATCTGTATGTTTGAGACTCCACAACGGGAACGAATATGCAAGAGAGAGAGTCGGTTTATATTTAAAATATAGTTCAACTCTGACATTCCTGTGAATCTAGACCATAGAATATTTAGGCCGGGTGTCTCTTTAGGCTCGGTTCTGATATTAATATTCAAGTACCGTATGCATAACCGCCTTTTGGTTAACGATACAAGCTTACTAATGAGATTTGGCAACGTATTCACGTTAATTGGCTAGATAAAGTTGGCTTTTTTTTTAATGTTTACGAGAAAATCTTGAAAATGCTACTTACTATACTTTGAAACGCTGATATAGATATTGTTTTATACATAATAATTACTAATGAAAAAACAGACTGATTATATTAAAATCCTAGTCCAAGGACGTTCCTTGTTTAGCACAGTACTGCTTAGTGCAAAGTGCAGAGTGATCTCTATTTTTCATAATACAACGTCGAATTTACTTTAACTACTACTTTCTTACATGTTTAACAGGTATTAAATTCTATCTTCTCTATAGAAAGACATCATATATTCGAGATAACGATATATATATAATATTCATTTGCTAAAAAAATATACATATTGGCCTTAAAAAAACTTCGTGGAACTGTTGCAGTATCATCAATTAGTGAAAATTATAACCTTGTTGAGTTCAATGTTCATCCTTGCAAGGTCAGACGTTTTAGCCGTGTGTTTATTAAGAAAGAGACAAAGATATTGAAGCATTGTTTTATTTGAATTCTGAATAGAAACTTAATGTTGCTAATATTTTGGATGTGATTTCAAGTCACAATAACAAAAACGTCAGGCTCTGAAGATGATTTTGCTAATCCATATAATGACATTTTGTGAAATCAGGTTTTAAAAATTGTATGTAAAACTTAACAAAAAAGTCAAAAAATCCGTTAAAAAGAATGTTTACAAAAGAAAATGAGCAACTTCATATTTACAGTTAAATAGAAATATAAGTCTTTAGCTAGTCTACTAATGTTGTTAGGAAAAAATAATGTAATTTAATAAGTCTTACCTTCAAACAAACATGCAAAGACATTTATGCTCATTCCGAATTGAGTTTTAATTAGTTGTACAGAGCTATCGAAATCCTTTGAAGGCCTTTGCTTTGTCTGTACTATTAATAATACTATGAATCATAATATTCCGTTAATCAAATCCGTATGCGTATATGTTCTTCCGCTACGTCCTGGCGCAAAGACCTGGTGACTCAATAGTACTTTTGAGGTTAACCTCACGTAGAAACAAATACAAAAAAAAACAACTTGAAAATTTAACATATTCGGCACTGCTTTTAATCTTATCTACTTGAAAGAAAGCAAAGGTCATCGCTGTAGGTCATTACTGTTGAAAAGATTCCACTTCTGCACTGAAGAATTTCTTTCTAACATTATAAACAGTTATTTTGTCTATAATCGTAATCAAATAAACATTATCAACTATCAATATCTGTTACTTATGCTTATGCGATTCCGTACCGACGCGGATTTTTCTTTTTCTAATACGTATGTACTGATGAAAGTCATTACTCAAATATAATAGTATCATCCAAGTATAACAGAACATAATAATTGAGCAAGAAGCTAACTTGAGTTTCGTATGAACAATCAAAGTTTTTGTTTGGAGTTTTTTTTATATGTTAAATTGCGTCTGCCGTAATGAGTGTACGCGGTATTGAATGAGTGACTGCATACTCGATTGTTGGGTCCGCCTACATCCCCGCGGCTTATTATTCGCCGATTAGAAATTCACAGACGGTCACTTAGCATATGAGATCACTGTCTTTATTGAGCGTCGAAGTATGTGCTGTTGATTTTAGTTAATAATTCTACTAATACTCGTTTCGCTATTTGTTGAGGCCAAGTGCATGTAAATGAGATATGATCAGATATTTTATTATCGTGTGAAATGGTATATTTTTCTAAATAATACGTATCTCCTGAAAATTATTTTGCGTTGGCGATCATGGAAAAGAAATACTGATGGTAAATCAGTAAAGAAAGTATGCACAACAATAAAAAAAAATACACTGAATGCTATATAACCTTCTAATTTTGTAAGAAACTTAGTTACGGAAAAAGATTTACATCTTCAAACTTGAAGTGTGACAATTATTATGAAAACACTATCCGAATATGTAAAAAGGTTTGTTTCTTACTGTTTGTTGCTAAAATCCAAACAGCAAATTGTGCTATGCAACTCTGTTGTCAAGTCGGGTAAGCTTATTGTCCCCGCTAGTTTTTTGCGCGTATATGGCGTGATTACATTTTTAATATGTATGTATTTACTGTCAGAACGCACTAATTTGAACAGTTAAGTGCCCTACCTCTCTTCTGTCTATGAGGTCATATCTATTTTTAATAAAGGTCTATGCTACTTTGCTATAATGCCGTGGAACAACGCTGCGATTCTGTAAAGCCAAAACCGAATTCGAATTCACTTCAAAAAGTGGCGTCTGCTCAATCTTGAATTGGTAATCACGTTTCGAGGCATAAGTGAAGTGAGTTTCGAAATGATATAGGAATAGAATATCTGAGACACGTATAATCAATCGATTTGGTTTTGTATTTTAATATTAAAAATGGAATAATTTCTTCCCATTACTATAGAAATTCACATGAGTGAATTCGAATTCGGGTTTGCATTTTTACAGAATTGCACTGCAGATCCAGTCGTCGGAACTGCAGTAAGATGAGTATGCATACTCTTTTAGATTATGACAAGTTTTTGCGCAGTGACTCGTGAGGAAGTATCTGCGTTTACTAAATCTGCGGCCAGATGTTGGTAAGCCTGGATGCGTATTCGAGCAGAAAGGGCCCTACCTCATATCTGACTATGATGTCATGTCATGTATAGAGGTCTATGTCAATTCGCAATTCACGTTCCGCCAGCCATAAGGTCCCATAACCTCACCCATGGTCGGGTGGCGCGCGCGACGTGACGTCACCACTTCCTATATTTCACCGGCCCATTGTATTTAAAACAATGGCCTTATTTCAGCGGATCTGTCGATGGCAAAATCTGTTTTTTTGACGTTTTATTATGCAACGTTTTGTCGCTGTCGTTGAACTTCGGAGTTGATTTCTGTTTTGATTCTTGTATCCTTGCCTAATTACATGGAATTATTGCTTAAGGAGACCCCACTGTTTTCAGAAGCGTGCACAAAAGTTAACTGAAATACATTTCGATTGCAATCCTGAAATCGACCGATTAGAACCTTTCTTAGCACTGACCAAAATAAGCAATGTGTTTATTTTAATTACGTATTTCCCTTATGATAATAGTATGGGCACTAAGTATATTGTGTTTTTGTATTATAAGTTTAAACCGGAATAACATTTACCGTTGAATAGCGCGTGGTATTCTTGTTGAAATATTGAAACTACCAAATGTTTGTCACAAAATTCCTCTTGTGACAACAGAATGTAGGCGAATTTAAATTTTTTATTTTTATAACTACCAGCTCGGCCGCCGGTAATGCTTTGGTCGGAATGACTCCGCTCATTTGCATAACTATACTCAGACAATGACTAAATACAAATGGCGTGTGCGACAATATATAGAATTAATTTTGCATACTCGCTAATGTACACGAAATTACCAGGCGTATTTATATAGTATGCTATAAAGTTAATTAAAATGTGATAATATTAGCTTTTAATTTTGTCGGAGGTTGATGGTTTGAGAGTTGTGTTCTATGACTTATTCATATTTTTGTTCGTAAAGGTTCGAAATTTAGGTCCTAAAATATCACACCTTCCGTTGACACCAAGTCAGAAAAAAATATTGTTCTTTTTTTTAAATATCGGACTTCGTCATGCTTATGACATTGAAACTCTATTAAGAGAATAATTTTAATAACATGTTTGCTTGAAACTCTTTTATTTTTGTAAAATAGGTTTAAAAAATCACACCTTTCGTTGACACCAAGTCAGAAAAAATAATTTGTTCTTTTTTTTAAATATCGGACTTCGTCATGCTTATGGCATTAAAACTATTAGGAGAATAATGTTAATATCATATTTGCTTGAAACTCTATTATTTTTGTAAAGTAAAGTCATAGCGTGTGTCACTTGGCTTAGTGAATGTAATAACTTAACTGCATCTAACACTAACAAAATCGCAATTTTCCAGTCAATTCTTGTGCCGTTAGCACTTATCATTGACCTAATATTGAGTCGGTGTAATAAACTCATTTTTTTATATCGGGAATATTATTTTTGATTAAGGAGGGCGTAATGCAAATATAATAGTAATGCAATATAAGAAATAAGGATGGGAATTATCAAGTCTGCGATGCGGAGGTGACAGGTTATAGACAGATGTCCAAAAATTTAATATGTGATGCTCCTCTGGCTTCAGTAGCCACCTTAATCTGTTGGTCCCGACTGAGTCTGTGGTCATCAACAGCCACCAATTTATATTGGGTCGACGCGGTAGCTTATTCCCTATTAATCTATAGAAAAGGCCTGATCTCAGCAGTGAGGACAGAAGCTAAAAGTGATGATGAATGCAAACTAGAATTCATCATCGATTTTGTGCAAGTTGTTACAAAATGTTAAATTTTGGAATTAATTTTCAAGACTATCAATAATAGAATCTAAACAGTTTGGATAACGTAAAATGACTCATAGTTATACGTTAATATTCCTTTTATTCGCACATTGGTTAATTAGTTGTATTTATAAACGTGGTGTGGTTTATTTCTAGGGCGGCATCAACAACAAACGTGATGTTCGCGTCTGCGCCGTTGACGAGACGCGCTTCCGCACTCCAATTGGACTCGTCTGACAACGACAACAAAGGTAATGGAACAGTGTCATCATTTATCATAACATAACTTATGGAATATTATATTATCATCAATGAAATTCATTGCCAATCGAATAAGGAGGCTTTGGCCTTCTTAAAAAGATTATCCGAGTTATTATAAAACGATTACTAAAGCTAGTACCCAGTTTCAATTATTTATTTAAGAGAAGAAAAACATCAAGGTCAAGAAGTTTTGACTTATTTCAGTCGGATAACTATTTCAACTTTGCACTAAAGGTAGTTTTAGATTTAAGATGCGTGATTTTGTCAATGACCACGCCATAATTAGCTTTTAATAATTTTAAAAGCTTTTATTATTTGGTTTACTTTCGTATAGTTTGTATATTTAAGTACTTCAAACAAATACTCATATGATGAACTTCTGTTCTGTGTGTCTGTTAGTTAGTTACATGAAATCTGTTCAAACACAATTTAACTCATAACTTTATTAATATGCAGCGTTTATTGCCTTCCCTATTTTTTTCTTTTTTCAAATTCGTTGAAAGCTGTTTTATTGGTTTCATCTACAATTTTGTCTGGCAAACTTTCAAAAGCCTTATTAAAATTAATCTAAGAATATAATTCATTAAGCTGTTCTGTTTTAACGCTGCCCAAAGGATTTAGAATGTTTGCAAGTTTCTGTAAGTATAAAGAAGTTTTTAATTTTATATTGATAGCTATGAATGGTTAATAGAGACAACCAAAGCTAATTCCATTGATGCAATTACAAGATTTGGTGCATGTTATTTTTTACTACAATGTTTTGTTGTTGGTAAAAAACAACTATAGCTAAAGTGGTTATTCTTCTGAACCAACTACATTAATATCAACTGTAGAAAAATATTAAGAAAAAATATATATATAAGCTACAATATTTTAATGTATTTTTCTGTAATATAAATATCAGCATTGGAATTACAAAATTAGAGTTATTTTGCAATCTTTCAATACGTGAATTAAAATTAAATGTAGAAAAGCATAATAAATAACGTTTGTAACAGATACTTTATGCTGTACCTGTTTACATTGCTAATCGGCCGGTCGACCTTGCACCGGATTAGAGAGAAGATCATTTTAATTCGCCTCGTCAGTAGCATTAAACTAAGTCTTGTATGGGTTAAAGAAATGTTATGTGAAACTAGGCCTTATGTTTGGGTATACATAATTGGGAATTCAATGTGCATTTTAGTTTCGATAGCATTTACTCCTGGGCTATCAATTGGATGGATTTTTGATGTACAGCAAGGAAAGTACCTACTTAAGTAAAAAATCCAGTTAGCAAAAAAATTGTAAATATTAAATTATAATTGTAATTGATTTCCAAAATCTTTGAATCTACGTTCAATAATCTTAAAATGCCATGCATGATGTATGCCTAAAATAGGTATCATTCATTCTGTATGTTTTTCTACAAAAAATTAAACCTTATCTTTTAATAGTAACACCACTATATTTAGTAACTTCGACACACTGTTACACTGTTATATATATGTGCAAACTGCGTGGAGGTGTGAAATGTGTAGAATAATGGTGATGATTGAGATTGCATACAAATATATTTATTAGGAAGTTACTAGATAAAATTTCTATTAGACTGAGAGTTTGTGACAAAAAAGAAAAGAGTTTTATAAGGATCGATACCTCACCATGTGCTAGGAAACATCACACAGTATTTAGTGCGGTTAGATGCCGCCAAACAAACTTCCATCAATTTCTGAAACTAACTACTAATTAAGTAATAGTTTGACTTTCGACCATTACAAAACACCTTTTCACATCAACTTCTGTGATGTACTACTTAGTTGCCGGGTTTCACGGTTGTGCTATCTGAGCAGTTTATTCTACTTTTTTTATATTATTAATGTATCAGATCATAAATAAAGCTAATCTCGCCATAAATAAAGCTAAGACCAAGGTCATGGTCATAGACCGTTTTTCAACGTGTCCTAACACTAACCTCCTGCATGGATATGAGACCGTGGACCAATTCCAGTATCTGGGTTCCGTAATCACAAAAAAGGGCAACTGTGAGCCGGAGGTGCGAAGACGAATCGGCATGGGAAAGACAGCAATGACACAATTGGACAAAGTGTGGAGAGATAGGAACATCAGTATTAAAACAAAAATACACCTAGTTCGCACACTCGTCTTCTCCATATTTCTGTATGGTGCCGAGACCTGGACTATTAAGGCGGCTGATAGACGGAGAATCGACGCGTTTGAGATGTGGTGTTGGCGTCGTATGCTGAGAATACCATGGACAGCTCACCGCACAAATGTCTCTGTCTTACATCAGCTTAAACTAGAGGAAGCACAGCGCCTGTCTTCAACCTGCCTGAGACGCATAATACAATACTTCGGCCACGTTGCTCGACGAGATACCGATAACCTGGAACGCTTGATGGTTATGGGGAAAATAGAGGGGAAAAGACCCAGGGGCCGGAGTCCTAAACGTTGGTCGGACCAGGTCTCGGAGGTACTTGAGATCCCGGTCAGTGCTGCACTCCACCAAGCAGCTGAGCGAAACCGATGGAGACGGATGGTTGACACGGAGAGACGAGATGACACGGAGTCACGATCCTCAGCAGTGAGGAAACGATAGAGAAGAAGAATGTATCAGAATATTTTTTCGCTAATTTTAAACTGTAATAAATTCTCAATTAAACCGCCACCAGGCTTAACTTACAGAGTGATGTTTACCCTCACCTTGTCCATATACGGAAATATCAACCGTTAGAAACCTCTGCACATATTTTGTAACGATCTCTTGTACTATATTAGATCTTTGTGTTTATCTCAGACGAACCGGACCGTTCGCCGCAGCCGGTGATGTGGTCATCGGTGGCGCGGCGGCGCACGGACCTGGTGCCGACCATCCCGGCGCCGCGCGCCCCAGGTAGGGCGTACTCGATGACGCGGCTCGACAAGATACCCGCGCAGCGACCATTACATTCCGCCTCGCCCTCGATGCATCACCTCAACAGGACTCGTAAGGATATTCGGTTGGGTGGACGTAAGCTTTGGGATCCGGCTACGCTTTGGGCGCTTTGGGTTTGTGTGGACTGAGCACCGTTACTACTTGGATGTTTATGTTTCACGCTATTTCAGAGTGTTTATCTCACTGATTTTAGGGGAATGTGTTTGGCTAGAATTCTAACTGGTATTCACTTGACATGTGTGGTTCGATTGTCTCGGAAGTTAGGCGGTATTCGTAATGTAAAATTGAAATCCTAGTAAATGAGGAGTGTTTTTAATTATTATAGTGTAGCTAGATAAACAAGATATCTACGCAGTTAACATGACATTCAGCTTCACCATCGGCGCACTGTCTAAGCAAGAGCTGTAAGGAGAATTGGTACTGGTTCCGATTTGAACTAGTTGGGTAGAAACCTGATTATCCTGTATTGTATGTGTCTCAAAAGTTGGTTTTCATTGGTAATGTCAAAATTGATTTTTTGCAAAATGAAAAAATATGATATCCTAAAGCAGCTACAAAAGAAAGTAGCATCCTAAGATGCGTAAGGATCGTCTAATTTTGTTGCTTTGTTTTTGTGGATTTCGCACGTTTTTTTAAAACTTGTTGGTCGATACACCATATCATGGTGGAATGGAATGATTGGTGATCAACTTTTAAATGAAATTCTAACTGAACACGACTAAGTCGGGATTCTTTACATACCTTTGTTACTTACAATCCAAAAGAGTGATAGGACTTTGCTTGTATGTGGACTTTATCATTTTCGCCTTTAACTATTTTGTACTAAATTGAGTTTCATGACGTAAATCGTCAATTTCAGGTTTACACAGACATCTGGCACTGTCACTGGGTTGACTTTTCTAAAGACTATATGTCGAGTTAGTATGTGATTATTGACACAATATTTAAAGCAGGTAGAGTTAGATTAGATAGAATATTTGGCATTATAGCCTTGTTCTAAATCGTGCTGACGTGTTTTAAGAGATTAAAGATTTCTGAGGCATTATTTCAATTACTCGAAAGTTTTGAAATGTTTATAATCCAGCAATAAGTCTATCTGAACAAAGTGACTAACATTAAAATTGAAGTGTAAATAACTTTCTTGTAAATAAGAATATAACTAAGCAAATATAATATGTATAAAAATTAAGCTTGCTTTAAAGCCAACGCGACGCTTAGCTTTCTGTGTGGCATATATTTATTAATACAATGCGCGTTTCTGTCGTTATTTATCAGAAATACTTCGCTAAGTCTATCATGATATCATGATTTAGCGATTGTATATAGCATTTATCCAGAGGTTGTTGGGTTTATAATAACACTTGATGAACGGATTTTCGTTATGCTAATTTAGACGTTATTACAATAGTCAATAAGTGTCATCTTCTTTGGGATCTCGCTCTCATTCTTTTTCTAGCTGGTTTTGGGTGATGCTCTAATAATGGTAAGCTCTATTTACTTTATACTGATATCCATGATAAAAATCAAATGATACCACGTTGGCATTATTGTAATCATATCATTTTAGAATTTATAAACATTTTTTCATCCATATTTAAGAAAGATATTTTTTCATTATTTTGGCTTTTGGTTATATAAATACTATTTAATTAGCATATTATATTTTTAGCTTATATATATCTAAGTCAAGTAAAAACCAATCACATTTAAAATTCATTTTTAGTACTTATACTTATGACACGATAAGGCTGGTTTGGGTCTTTGTTAAATATGGAAGAAAGTAATCTGTATAATATTATTGCCAAAGCACAGCTTAATTATTGGTTTGTCATCAGCACCTTTATGTTTATAGAAAGCTTTTTTAATACGCGTTTAAGTTTTCATGTCACTTTCATTGAAAATCACTGAAATATTGGATATACCAATATATTTTTGTAAGTGTAAGAAATTGAATTTATATTTATTGAAACTTACAGTTGCGTTCAAATACTGATGGTATTTAAGTCTTACAGATTAGAATGATTATTGTATGAAAACTATAGTAATATGTATTTATTTCCAAGAGTGGGAATATAGTTAGTCATTATTTAACCGTGTAGAAGAACGGCGTTGATTAATCAAAAGGCAAATTTACTCAGAATATGAGTAAGCTGGTAAATTATATTCGTAAATAACGGGTTTGAACGCTTGAATGAAAAAAATTCTCAGGGAACGATTATATAATATATATTTTTCCTATATATCTCATATTTGATAAACAAGAAACGGGGCACGAGGAGAAATGTGGTTACATTGTACTGCTTTCATAAATGGTATATTGAAATCATTTTCAAAGTATCCAGTTTATTTAATCAGGAATAATACGCAAAACTCATCGTAAATGGCAGCACTAGCACTCCTCGGGAGACTCGTTTAACTATTAATTTAATGCAGCGGCAACTAAATTTCAATTGTCTAAAGCTGGTACTGCATGTGCTAGGGCTGCAATCCGGTGACGGCCGGCATTTGTAAATACACACAGTGCAGTGTAGAGTGTATAGTGTGGCGTAGGTGTGAGCGTGTCGTTGGTTCGGCAGAGTGCCGGTCCGGCGAGACGACGCCGTCCCGGCCCGGCAGCGCGCTGTCCGCCGCCGCCGGAATCGCCGGTGCCGCCGTGCCGCGCCGCGCGCACGCCACCCCGCGCCGCCCGCGCCCCGCCTCCATCGCCGGCACCGGCGTCAACACGCCCAGAGGTATGTACGCGGCGAGCGGAACGAGACGCAGCGGATCTACCATTTTAAACGACCGAGTACCGAGGTGTAATTTTGTCATTCTATCTTCTTTTTGTAGTGTATGTTTTTTCTATTATTTAATTTCATTATATACCTTCATGTCGTATTCTTTGCGGGCCAGGCAGTAAGGACCGCCCACCACAGAGTGCGATCTTTCGCCTCGTCCACTTTCATTACTCTTCTTATACATATGTCGGTTTTATACTATAACTAGCTTACCGCCAGCGACTCTGCCCGCGTGATACCTAGGGAACTATTTATTTGGATATCGATTTATATCATGACACGGGTGGTTACCATGGGAACGTTTTAATTCCCCATACATACTTCATACTTTTCTTTGCTATTTTTAGGGAAAAAATATTACTTATTCGATGTAGTTTCGGAGCCTATTGGTTGCAAACAAACAATCGAATTTTTCCTCTTTATAATATTAGTATAGAAGACATATCCGTCCCAAAGTAATTTATATTTATGAATTTTAATAGATATTAAACCTAACCTTATTATTTGATACGATGATTTTGCGCCCGGTTCAAATGCCTCCACTTCGCCTCCTAGATCCAGCTCTGTGGATCGTACCTAGGGGTTCTACTCGTAGAACCAATTTTCGATTAACTTTATCATGTTCTATCCTAGTCTATGATACTAAAATTAGACAGTTAAAGAGCAATCAGAGTTCTGAGCCGGCAATTTTGAGCATCAAAAGATAGTAACTAGATCATAGTTTTTTTGGTCGATGGAGTCTGCCGGCGGGCAGTTTTTGTGCAGCCTACAGAGCTCGTGTGTCCTCCCCATGCGGGCTCTATCGACCAATGTATGCAAAACGTAATGATTTTCAATCCCGGAACTTTTTAAGCAATTTAATAAAATTTTAAACTTTAGTATTATTCATGTTACTTTTTCCTTATAAAACGATTATGTCATTATATATACGTACTCAATATCATGATTTGTAATAAATGTATAAATGTTTGTGTTAATTTTGCTATAGCTTACTGCCGTGACTGTGTTCGCTTTAAATTATTATGAATGTACTAACTAATATAGTTTTTATTATTTTGTGAATAATTTCTTCAACATCTCTTTGTTTTATTAGTAAGTACACTTAGTTGTATAAAACGCTCACATATAGCATTTTTTTACTCAGTTCAAAAAAATATACACGAGTACAGCACTGCAATCAATTCGGAATTCAAACTTCAACAGATAAAACTTAACTTTTCAGAGGAACATGACGCGACGTCGACTATGTAATTCGAACTAACTAACGTGACACCCGAGGGCCTATCTTATTTGTACTCAGATGATTATTTTTTAATGCGATCTTGTTAAACTTGCATCTATTAAAAATATAAAATATATTTTCATTAAGAATATTTTCCAGTATAGCATTGTGAATGCGAAGTTACATATAATAAAAATCATATCCGTCAATGTTATTAGTGCATCAGATGCAGAGTGTCGCATGATAAATTATCGAAAAATGGGTTTCTTTAGACGATGTATTAGTATAATTTAATTTTCGGGCGAGTATGTAACACACATAATGGGCGTATACCAGGCGGCGTGTTCGAGGCGGGCGGGGCCAGTGCGGCCACCACCCCGAGCGTGTCGCGCGACGGCAGCGTGGTGGGCGCGGGGCCGGACGTGCCGCGCCGCCCGCACGCCGCGCCGCGCCGCCCGCGCCCGCTGTCCCTGCACCAGCCCAACAAGACGCGTCAGTATACACTCGCCCTTATGGACTCGTCTGGCGAGCGGCAGACTGAACCACCTCGACGAATTCTCGCCACTCTCGCTTATTGACTGTCGCTTTAAAACTAAAAAATGCAAATTTTTATATATATCGCTCACTGAATACTACAGTGGCACAACTCAAAAACCATTATTTCGAGAAAACGCCACAACATTATGGTGGCATCCCATATATAATTTAAAGAAAAAATAAGAACTTAACAGTAATAGTATATTACAAACGATTTAACTGTTATGCTAAAAAAAAATGATTTTCATAATTATAAATTACTAGTGGACGCCCGCGACTTCGTCCGCGTGGAAGTCGGTATCCCGTGGGAGTGAGAAGTTTTCCCAGTAAAAAGTACCCTATGTGTTATTCTGATGTATAACCTATATTGCTGTAAAGTTTTATCCAAATCCGTCCAGTAGTTTTTTCGTGAAAGAGTAACAAACATCCATACATCCATACTTACAAACTTTCGCCTTTATAATATTAATAGGATAACAATACAAACAATAATACGGTAGCAGATGCGGCTCCACCTCGCACCAACAGATGGCGCTGTCTGATTCCTACATCGCGGTAACTTTTATGATTCAATAATGTATAAGACCTTCAGTCAACCCAATGGTTGTTATCCACTAGTAGGGCCGGTTTTAGGTGCAAACTAACTGCTTTCACCCACGCTGAGACAGTTCAGTTGAAACTATAAACCATATGCGTTGTAGAAGATCTGCAAGTTTAGGACTTTCTACGGAGATCCTAAACTGAAGGTTCTAGCTATAACGCCATCCGTACGTCAATTTGTATCCAAATTCTATTCGTATAAATATATATTAACAAAACAACTCCATAAATCGTTTGTTTCTCACCACCAAACAACACCCCGCTCACAAAATATATTAAACTAGTGGACGCCCGCGACTTCGTCCGCGTGGAAGTCGGTATCCCGTGGGAGTGAGAAGTTTTCCCAGTAAAAAGTACCCTATGTGTTATTCTGATGTATAACCTATATTGCTGTAAAGTTTTATCCAAATCCGTCCAGTAGTTTTTTCGTGAAAGAGTAACAAACATCCATACATCCATACTTACAAACTTTCGCCTTTATAATATTAATAGGATTTTCATAACTTCGGAGAGCGTTTCTCGAAATATGGTTTTTGAGTTGTGCCACTGTACTATTCAGTGAGCGATATGGCCTGTATGTTCGAAAATATTTCAAAAGATTGAGGTAAAATACCTTTGCCGTCTATATCGAGAACCGAAACGTCATATTTTCTTATAATCCATTTGCCACTTGTAGCACAAGTAACTATCATTGAAAATACGTCTTATTACAGAGTTAACAGTCGCCCCGGGAGAAGGCAAGCCGCCCGTACACAGAAAGCCAAAGCCATCCAAAGAACACGATAAGGTAACCGATTATGCCAATAGTATGTAAGTTTTGACTCCTAAATTTTGCGGAAATAGCTTTGTCGTAGCTTGATTTTTTTTTTTAATTACCTACGTTACAAATATATTCTTTGAACCTAAATTTAAGTAGTCTTTTCATAGATTATACAATAGTCGGTTAACATTGTATATGTTAACATGGATAAGACTAATTTACATTTCGAAATGTTTTAACACTCTATTTATAAAATCTTACTATTGTGGTATTGTAATCTGTTCTTTCTAGTAAAATATGTTGTTCTTTCTACTAAAATAAAATTTATACCCTATACAGTCCCGCCCATCGAGGTTAAGACCTAAATACAAGCTGGAAAAAACAGTATCAAAATTAGAAATGGTAAACACAGGACCAGATTATATGTCCGTCAAGATATATAACGCTATTCCCGACAGTATAAAAGTAATCGAAAACATTAATGTTTTCAAAAATAACCTAATAAAATATCTATCACAAAAATGCTACTACTCGCTACAGGAGTTTTTCAGTGACACGGGAAGTAATTCCATACATTCATTTCCACCCCTTTAAATTTTAATTTATAATTTGATAATTATATATAAACAGTGATTTTTTTTTATATAATTATATAACAGTATATTAATAATGACAATTTGGATGCAAAAAAACTTTTTAATTTTGTTATTATTTTATTGTTATGCATGATACATACTTTATACTATACAGGATGTTTGGTAATAGATGTATAATCCCGAAACATGGCCATACAACCTAGCACAAAGAATACAATTGATATGTCAAAAAACAATTTCACGTAAATTGAGATTTTCATACAAATATTTGAACAATTTGTTTTTAATTAATATGCTACAACCCTGAAAGCTTACACGTGCCGTCCCGGCGTACTCGCTCTCTCTCTCTCTCTCATTACCTCTCACTTTCTCTCGTTTCCTAGAACAACAGCTGTTTTTAGGGTTGTCAGCGTACAGTTTTACTTCGAAGAAAAAAGCTAAATATCTAGGTCATGTGCTGGGTTTCAGACTTAGTGATCATTATTCTGGGTTCTATTCATCATACCGTATGTGCCATATTCGGGATTATACAGGTATTACAAACACGCTGTATTTAATTTGATTTGATGATAATTATAGTTTAATTTAACTATTGTTGCAGTGCCCTTATCAGGGTTCATGTCAAGGTACAAAAAAAAAACAACATCTGTTTCACCACATGAAAGCAATAAATGAGTTTGAGTTGCGAGTATAGATATCGATATTGTAACATCCCTTAATTATAGGTTTGACTACGTGATCATTGTACGACTGTTTGTACTGAAATGTTGTATGTTGTTAATGACCTCGGTATTCGAGTAGTGGCATCGGTTTCAGTGTGACGTCATCTCGAAAGTCCTGTTTTCGATCAATACAGTTTGAATGTTGATTGCATTTGGATTATAAACTCAATGTCAATCAAAATGTTGCCATGTAGTTATAACTTAAGAATCAATCGTTAACTAACATTTTGCATATTTTCATAACATGACAATTTTGATTACTTACGCGCTATGTATTTATCATATGAAATAGTTAAGTACAGGATAGGACATTACCATTTCTTTTTTTTCTCTTTTACGGGGGTGGAAGTAGTCTTGACAGTTCTTAAGTAAGATCACAAAAGATAAATAAAATGAATACACCATTTTTAAATTACTTTTTGCTTCACATTTTTACGCAACATAATAATTATTTAGCAAATATATACTTGCGTAATAAATGCATGACGCCTTATTTATTCATAGCCGGCGCGCGGTAAATCAGCGTCGCCTGGTCGCGCGTTGTCTCCACCGCGTTCTAAGGATTCCAGCGCCGATCGCGAACTCGTTGCCAAGGTAACATGAACCTTGTTCATTTACGTCTAATTATTGCTACTATAATTAATCTAATATCTCTACTCAAGTCGATTCCCTATATAAAATTTCTAAATGGACTATTTCAGTACTATTTTTAATTATGCACTATAAGTTTGAGACGAAGTTATTGAAATTGTAAGTGTTGTGTCATCTAAGTATATGCATTTTTTATCGCTCTAATATCTAAAACTAATTTGAAATATTTTTTACCGATATGCACTTATACAAATCATAGGTGTATCCATAGTTTGTTAGCATATCCTAAGTAGCAATAATGCTCGTATCTATATTTATTTTGATCACTGGTAATTTAATACATGTTATAAAATGTTTCTTCATGCGTAATGTCAAATTTAATTTACTTAGGAGTCTCAATTGAACGACAAAAACCAAGTGAGTGCTGTAGAGGTGACACAGAAACTAGAAGCCCTGCAAATACACAACGGAGATTCACACGCATACTTAGATGATAAGGTAAACTAGAGTATATTCCTAACATTTCTTTTTGGAAAATAAAACTAAAATGCACTTATTTCTTCATAATGTAATGTTTACATTTGCCCAGTCTCATATTTGTGCGTGCAGGCAAAAGCTCCTCAGTTAATTAACAATCGTCTAATTTTTCCAATTAATGTAAAGGTAAATATTATTAATAAAATGAAAGTAAAAATATCTTAAGTTACCTGAATTTCTAACAAGAATAAAGTTAAGAAAATATCATATACCTCTAATATAATATGATGAGGATATACATTGTTATTTTTTATTAACAGGTAAACGAAAACAAAGAAAACATAGTGAACAATGAAGAAACGAAAATAGAACAGAACGTATTAGTAGATGTTAAACATATTGAAGTACAGAAGCCAGTCGATAATAAATTAGTAGAAGTCATGTCTGATAAAAATGAAGAAATCAAACAAGTGATGCCAGAAGAAGTCAAACCAGAAATCAAAGAAGACAGCAAACAAGATGAAGTAAAGAGAAAGGAAGATGTAAAGAAAGAGGAAGAAAAGAAGGAAAGCGCACAGGAGAAGACTGAAGATTCTGAAATGACAGGTATGTGGTGTGTTTGATTAGTGAATTTTTAGTGAGTGTTTCTCTTCTACGTTACGATATAACGGTAATTTTTAAATAACAGTATTTTTCTTGGCCAATTTAAGCTTATATCTTGTATCCATGCATATTTGACTGAGCGGGTATGGCGGATTTTTGCTCTCTTTTGTCGTATGCGCCGCGCCCAACTTACTTAGTAACTTTAAAACATTTGGTCACTCATCCGATTACTTTTTTTTTATACCGAAGGGAACTAGTCTTAGTATTTCATCAACCTCGATTTTGCCTTTCTTTCTTAAAAGTTCATTCATTCATTCGTTCATAGTATACTGTGTGCAGTTCTGCCGTGGCATTGATTGTTAACTATACTGTTATGTGTTATAGTATGTAGTTCCGCTACATTCTAATAGACGGCGCAAAATAGCGTCGTGTTACGAAATGCAGGCAATAATTTGGTATGTACCATATGTGTCACACTTTACGTTGTAGAGTTAAAGAATCGACCGCCTTAAGCGATGACAGAAGAGATAACGTCAAGTCGGGACGTGTGATTTCATCACCAGCCCTTTTACGTCACCACTGCAGGGGCTCAGGCCTTCCTTATGGATGGTTAAGGAGGATGGGCCATGACCCTCCACGCTGGCCCAATGCGGATTGGAGGGTATTAACGACTGCTAATGCAGCCGGGACCAACAGCTCAACGTGCCTTCCGAAGCACGGAGTAGCTCGAGATAATAATTTTTTGGTCACCCATCCCGTGACCGACCCTAGCGAAAGTTGCTTAACGACTACGATCGCGGGCGGCGGCGCTTATTCACTACGCCACCGAGCTACGTGTGGTTTATGATTGTTTAAAAGTTGGCCCTCGTTTGAAGTGTGGTACTGTGTCGCGTTGCAGCGTCGATGACGGCGCGGCGCATCACGACGGAGCAGCAGGCGAAGGCGGCGCTGGCGGAGCGGCGGCGGCGCGCGCGCGAGGAGCTCGAGCGGCAGGCCGAGCTGGAGCGCCAGCGGTGGGTGCTGCGCCAGATTAGGGCTCCCTATTCCAATAAAAAAGACAAATAAAGCAATGAAATAATCAATATTACTCCACGTTTATTTAAGTTTCACCGTGAGCATGGGATCGATCAAATCATACCATTTATTTATCACTGAAAACTGAAACAATAATATATTACTGCTAAATTTAAATAGAAACTAAAAATATTTTCAACTGCACATTGAAATAAGAAATTATGACAATAGCGAGATCTCGGTATTTCGAGATTCCAATCTCCGATAGATTTAGTTTACCTAATTTAGATTAGGTAATAAAGTATTGATAGAAATCAGCAGCTTGATAAATTATGAAATATTTTGCAAATGGTAACTTGTATGTAAACAATATTTTTCGTTTTAAAAGGAATTGTAAGTAGATTTATTTATAATAAAAGGAATTGTAGTAGATATTTTGTTCTGGCAAAGTTATTATTACATAACTTCCGAAAGTTTACGGGTTTTGTAATATGACCTATTTCGGGCACCAAATTCTTCACAGTAACGATATACACTATAATGATATAAAATTATAATCTTAAACTAAAAAGTATAAAATACATACTCAATTTAATAATTTACATTTATATTGTGAAGAGAAAATAAATGGATATTATTACATATTATTAATCTGTGAATTACAAGAACAGAAACGTCGCATTTCAATGAACTAAATGTCAACATCTTTGTTGCACGTGCAACCAGTACTCATGTTTATTGAAATATGACGTCACAGCTAGAAATTTCACGGGATTGTTAACGGGGGCCATTTTAAATTGATAAATGGAAATATGTTTTAACTTCACTTAATAATATTTTTTGGAGAAAAAGAAATCTGATTGTGCTTTAATATGATCATGAAAATTTTTAAATACTTTTCCCACTCAATGGTCCATTTTAAAGTCGACTTCTCGTGTCTGAAATTGACAAAAATGTTTATTACACCTACCGTCAGCTAGTGACTTTTTTCTATGTGTTAATACTTAATCGTTGGTGTCGAAAAACTACATAGATTTACATCGTTATCATTCGCTAGGCAAAAGCTCCTTACTAATTGGGTTCTTTCAACTGCAGATTACAGCGTGAAGCCGAAGAAGAAGCTGAAAGACAAAGACAAGAAGAAGAGAGACAGAGACGGGAAGAGGAAGAGGCGCGGGAACTGGCCGCGCTACAGCGGCAGATGCAGGAGGAGAAGCTGAGGAAGGCCATAGAGGTGATTGTTAAAGCATTATTTACACCATCCAGGTTAATTGCATGTGGAACGAAATGTAGGAAAAAACAATAGGGGTGATGATTAATTTGTGTTTGCCTGTTTGTCGGATAGATTTTTAAGGAATATTAAACACGTTTTATTATTTTTGCGTAATCAATAAATCACGGCTGTATGTTGAGTTGAAATGTCACACCTTTGTACATTTTCTATATAGATGTGACATAGCGAACGGCTTAAATGCCTATTTCTAAGCCATTTCTTGTTAATTTGAAGCAAAAACATAATATGTATTGATTTATCAATATGCGTGGCATTTTCAAATTGGCAAACACTATTTTTATAATTGATATTTTCAATACCCATTGCATGGACGTTAGAAGTTAATTTTTTCTTTAAAAAGAAATAAACTACAATACGGGAGTGGATATATGACAGATAACTACGTACGTCGATTCACTTTGAAAAAAAAAAAAAGATCTTTCAAATAATTGAAATCGATACGCATTTTTCATATTTGAATTAGTATTTTTATGTTATTATTTGTATTTCCCTTAGATGTCTTTGGTAACATTGTCTTGGAGATGTTTGAAATTAATCGAAAATCGCTCGTTTTGTATTGATTTTATCAAGATTGAACTATTTCGATCAATTTGAATCGATTTTTTCCCACGTGCCTAATGTCAGTGTTGTTATTATTTCGAACAATCGCGTCATTGTTTTTCTAGTATCGTTTGCAGTCACGTGACTCATACATTAAATAATATTATTTTAAAATGATAAAATAACTCAATCACACGGATTCCTGTATTGAATCAAATTCTGCGAATCCATTTGTTAGCGCGATCCTTTGAAATTGTATAAAGAAGTGCCTGTAAAGCGAAAAGAAAAACAAAACTAACTCTTATTTTTCGCTTTCGCTTCGTTTTCGTATATCTTTGTACTAAAAGGTTTCTTTACGTTTTCACTTAGGCGCAACAGCAACTCGAGCGCGAAGAAAACGAAAGACGCATAAAGGAAGAAGCTGAGAAAAAAGCGCGCCAGAAGGAAGAGGAAGAGAAGCGGAAAGCAGCTGAAGAAGCGGAGAAACTTAGGAAAGAAGAAGCCGAACGGGAAGAGAAGGAAAGGTTGCTGAGGAAACAAAGGGTAGAAGCAATCATGGCGCGTACCAGGCTTAAAAAGGTTTTGTATAATATACATGTTTTATTTTTGACATAATTGAGTCACCTACGTCTTATTCTGTATATTCTCGATTTTTGGGCATCATACGAATATTAGTATTGAAGGCGCCCTTTATGGCCTTAGGCAGGCTATGTAGGGAGGGAGATCGAAATCTCCTTAAAAAACGTGGGTGGACTGTAAGGCGCGGTCAAAAAAAAAATATTAAATTAGCGGGTTTTCGCGAGGTGACAAGAAACTGAACTGGTGACAAGTACGAAATAAATGGAAATATAAGGGGAGAGGCACTGCACTTACTTGTGGTCAATATGGCGCAATGGCGGCCCTCGAGCGTAGGCGGCGAAACAGGCCTGTCTCCTCCAAAACTCTTAAACGCTGTTATGGGCATAATAAAACGCCTCGGTAGCTTCAGTGAAAACGTACTGAGAAAAATCGTCGGCGTGGCGGTTAAGTTTTATACACAAATTAGCACAGAACATTATCAAAATAGCACAGAACATCAGCACCTCTTCACTAACACTTCTCACCAGTACAATATGCGGAATTATATAGTTTTATGAGACGGCGAAACACAGAAGAAAGATTACAATGCGGACGCGGCGGGCGAATTTCTTCAACTGGCGACTCCTACTGAAGACGCCATAGATCTCGCGGGAATATGTTCTGTCTCGCTCTTTCTCTCTTATTTTGTGCAGTGCCAAAGAGGGAGGAAGACAGGAAAAGTACTAATGTCAACCAGCGAGAAATACAAAATGGAGATACTTATTGTAAAAGCGGCGCGAATAATAAAATTAATTATTAATATTAAAATAAATGTATGTTGGCGTTACCAAGTATAATACGAAAGACTGTTCATTAGCTGCTTATAAAAATAGGAATAATTAATAATTTCAAATAACATGTAATAAATCATATGTTTTATATTCAATAATATTTTTTGCAGCTTACTTATTAATTAATATACAGAATACGCCAAAATATTCCTCTTGAATTGTGAGTAAAAGTTGCAAGATAACTCATTCGCTATTTCTTGGTTCAAATAAATAGACTAACAATGTTTTTCCATATTTATCATTAGCAAGATAAGAAAGTGTATAAGGAAACGTTTATTTATTTGTAGCAAGCGGAAGAGGAGAAAAAGCAACAAGAGAAAGCCTTGTCCGCTGCCGCCCCCGCGCCCGCGCCCGCTCCCGCGTCCGCTCCGCTCGTCGACAACGGCAACAACGTGCCCACCGGTGACTTGCTCAACTTCACACCCGCTCAAGTAACAATACCTTGTTAATTCTTCGGTCTAACCTATTATATAATTCTAATGCCCGTTTTCACTAAACTTAGGAGTCGCCTAAGGTAAAAATGCATTTCACCATTGACAAGGAACCACCTAACGAAATTAAAAATGTCTGAAGATATGATATTCGTTATGCGGCGCCTAGCGATAGGCATTTGAGGATATGACAGGTCATAAATATGTCAAGGGGTTAAAAGAGAAAAATATTTATTTGGAATTAAACTAATCTTTTAGGCGATTCGTTATATTAGGCATTTCCTAGTTAAGCTACGCCTTGTTCTAGGTTAGTGAAAATTGGTGTAATTGTTATTATTTTATAAAGTGACAACTAAATAAGGTTAGGGCGGCTCTCTTACATTACTTAAGGATTATTTCTAATGATTAACGAACGGATTTGATACCGTAAATTGTACAAGCTATACAAAACTGTCACATTTCTCCACTCGATTTTAAACCATAAATGTTGGGAGTATAGATCAAAATCCATTGCAGAAATTTGACATATTGTGGTAATCTGACCTGCAGCCGTACGTACAATATGCTTCTGATGAATTAAAAAAAAAAAAATGTTTATTAAACTGAACATTGTTTATGTTGTTAGTGATATTGTTGCTATTTAATTTAAAATTTAAAGCAATTTCTATTTATATAGAACGTGTTTGTATTTGTTTATTATTAGGTGGAGGAACAAATTCCGTCTGAAGTATCGTCGGCGGCGGCGAATGTTAGCGAAACTCGCACCGATAACGGAAACGACGCGCTCGCGCTACCTGAACTACACCAGGTAATATTATATTTTATATTTGTTCAAACAAAACTTATATTTGTTTTGCCTACCCTAGAAACGATCTAGCTATCTATGATATGAATACACAGAAAAATGAATCAGTGCATTGATTTTAAAATTTTCGACTTGTTCTATTTTTCTTCCTTTTCAATTCATTAAAAGAATCACGACTAGAGCAGTCTCGTGAAATGGAAACTACATGCATTTTGTAATAGCTACGTTACGACGTAATCATTGAAATAGCCATAAGGTATTAAAAAGCAGCCAGTTTTATATTAATTGAATTTTTTCATTGTTATCGACTGTATCGAAAATGCAGTTTCATAGGTCAAAACTAAATTTATGCTATTCTTCATGAAAAATGTTAAAAAAAAAAAAAACAAAACACAAAACTTTTGAGTATAAAGTTCGGTACTGGTCGTAGTTTTCTTAACACACCTCGCTATCAACATGATTTACTCTTCACAAATTAGTTAATTCCGTAATTGACTCAAAATATTTTCTTTCATCTCTTATTAATTTCAAATATTATCCAAGACACGGGCTTCCAACTTTTCCTTGTATATAATCCCATCGCTCGTATGTGTAGAAATTATAATGAGATCCTCCCAGTTAATCTGGCATTAGACATATTTAATGCCAATCTTATTAAATTCAAAACTGCATTAAAAAAGTTATGGTAGATATAAATGTCGCATCTATTTAATCATTCCGATTGATATATACTTCTTCTTTTTTTTATATTAGTAAAAAGAAACTTTATCATATCTCATTGTGTAAACACCATTTAGGATATTAATTTAGTACTACACAGTTGTTGTACTTATTATACATATATATTTTGATTAATGTCTATTGTGTTCCTCCTTAAACATCCATAAGGAAGGTCTGAGCCCCTGCAATGGGGACGTAAAAGGGCTGGTGTGGTGTTACCTTATAAATAAAAAAAGTTTCCATTTTTCATTAAAAATATTTTTCAGTATAGCTTGTAAATGCGAAATTGATCAAATATATACTATTTTTTTTTTGGTACTAAATTATCATATAAAAAAAATATCATAGCTCCTTGACCCAATAATCTATCTTTTATCAGACCTGAAAGTTCCCCCGTTTTAGAGAATTAACTAAAGAAAATTGGTATGTTTTGCCTAGAAACACTATTATGTTCAGCCATAAAACTCAATTTAAAAAAGAAAACGCCTCATAACGAAGGCAAAGGGATCTTTGTCTACTGCCTAGCCTACGGTAGGGTACTTTGGGGAAATTACGAAAGCGGGGAAATTCCGATAATGATATGAAATAAAAAAACTCAATGTTTGTTGTAATTAAAAGATTTTTATCTAGTAAAAGCCTGTTTAATAGTCAACTTTACCGACACAGAATGCCTGATTTGTTTTTAATTCGTCACTTTCAGGATTTGCCTGTTTTGCGTCCCTAATTGACGAATCATATCATAATATTGTGAAAATCTAACTAATAAATTGATAACTATATTATAAAGATAAGCTACGCACCGAATCGGCTCAAATCGGGTCTAATTTGGTGGGCAAGCTTCCATTCGTTTAAAATATTTCTGTATTTGTTAGATATCTAAAATAAAAAAAGTAATAGTAAATAAAAATAACGATTCCACATTGTCTAAATAGATTAATTCACAGCATCAAATTGGAACGTCATTTAGGGATGGGGCTGCCATAGATTTTCTTAATGTACTTATGTGTTGCTACATAAATTATAAAATATCCACCAAATGATGTTAGAATCAGAAAATAAACATTTTGGCGGCCCCTAAAATATAATTAAATGATCATGTGTAAGGTTTATTTACCCTCTATCGATTAATATATACTTTATGCTTGGTTAGAGATGATTTGAATAAAGTATCAGCGTTCATACAAAAAAAAAGTTCTCCTTTATCCTAGTTTGTGCAACATAATTGCTCCGTATATGTTGTCACAAGGTAGTAATGTGTATTTTCCGTTGCAGGGTGAGCCGAGTCCCGCGGAGGCGGCGGGCAAGCTAGAGGCGGCCGCCAACGGGAATCACGTGGACTTCGCCACGCACAACGGCCACGCCCACCCGCACCCGCACCCGCACGCGCACCCGCTCACGCTGCACAACGCGATATAGGGCCCGCACGCCCAACGCGACCTTATCACGTCCGCGTAAGCTCCATATTGGCTGCAGATTAATCGATTGTTTACTGACGAACTTTGATATTTATAATCGAAGGCGTTAGGCGGATGGCCGCACTCTATTTCAAACAGGCGTCACCTTCGATCACATGTGAACCTCGAGACTTGAATTTTAGTACGCGTCGTTGAGATCGACTTTGCTGAAGCGGATGTGTTGGCTGCAAACGAAGGGCTTTAGTCGATTTTTTTTTAACATACTATCTGTGATGTTAGTGTACATTTTACCGTGAATGGACCTATAATAATATCTGGATATGCGATTGTTTGACTTTCGACGCCTCTGCTTTAGCAAACTCTTTCTTCGGTTGAATGAGATTCAATTCTAAGCGTTACGGAATTCTTGAGTCAAACTTTAATTGTCGTAACATATATGTATGAACTTATGGGAAAAAAAAAGCATTTTTCGGTATGGTAATAGAAATAATAACATTAATGAAATCAAATTACTGAACCCGATTATAACTTTATCAGAAAACGGCTTCGATTGAGAGTTTATCATATTTTTTAGAATATTATATCATAATTCCAGTCTTTATCATATGAAATTAAAGTTTATTTTCTTGTCGCAAGAATCGCGTTGTGCAGCCAATATGTATGCAGCGAAATATGATTGTTCGAAACCTAATGAGCGTGGTTGATAGACGCTAATATTTGGCCTGGATCTGTGCTCTCGAAAAATCGACATTACATATATCGTGGCCTATTTAGCTGCCTAGCTTGATCTAACTTGACGTGGGAAAAGGCACTATGAAGTTAAGAAAGTATCAATAACTGGTTTTAAAAGTACGTCTGTTATTGTTTCACCAAGCAATTAACAGCTGCAAACAAGAATATTGCAAGAAAAAAGCATAGAAATTATAATGCAATGAGAAAGCTATTCATATTTTAATAACAATTTGGAGTAGATGAGATTTTGCAGTAATAAGCTATATACATATACATAAAATCAATCATAATGTGTCACTGTGTGGGTCTTATGAAAACCTATGATTTTTTATTTATTAGTACTATAAATTTCAGTGTAATTTATTGTTTCGAGATTACTTTAGGTGCTAATTATTTATTAACGATCTTGGTTGTAACAATTAAAAATGAACAGCAAACTTTGATGGTAACACTAATACATTTTTTTTTCTAAATATGCATTTATACGGCAAACTTGTCGATTCTACTTAAATTGAAACTGAAAATATTAATAGAGTAACAAAAACAAAATGTTCATCGCTCTATCATTAAATTAAAAAAAAAAATGTTTGAAAAGCTATATTGAATATAGATAAATGTACACACAGCCAGCACACTAGGATAACAAAAAAAAAAGAAACTTCGCTTCCTAATTATCATATTTCCTCCTTTTAAACTCTACATACCTCGTCTAAAATGTAATATTATTATTTTTCTTAAGCAAAAGGAGACACGTAACTTGATAAGTAACCCCGTGGTATATGAACAACAGATTAAACTTTACAATAAATTGAAAAACGGTTTGAATATTTTACAATTCTGTCCAACTGATACAAATGTAATATTGAAAGCATAAATTTTAGAAACAATGGACTTCTGTGCGACTAACGCTATCTTTTGATCAGTATCAAAATGTTCGAAGCCCTTTTTCAATTGTGAAAATAATTTTAAATCTTATCATATTAAAATTATGTTCAAAATCGCTTGCAAAAATTTGATATTTCATTGTCTATGTTCTGCTGTGTGTTCTATAGCTACTAGTTAGAAAAGTGGAACAGGAATATATAAACTGATATAATTGATGATTCGATTTCCGGAATCATTGAAAATTAGATTTTATATCTATAGGTTGTGTGTATAATATGCCGTGTCGCGAAACGGTGTGTATTAAATTCGTATAAGTTTTATTTATTGTGATTTTTTTGTTTGTTTGTAATATTAGTACGGACTTTATTAAGGAGACATTCGCTTTCAGAGTTAAATGATTGATATGGTGCGAAAAAGGGACGGATAATAATATATGTTGTGAGAGGAAAATTGGTGGTTTACCATTGGACAATGTACTGTGTGATGTAAGGTTAAGGGCACATTTTTGCATTATAAACATTCTTTTTTAGGATTTCTTATATGTAATGAATTTTATCTTTGAAACTTTATGTCCTTAGACGCATTTCGGGCAGTCAATAATGAACTCGACATTTGTTATCGTTGATAGGAAAATAGATTGCTAAAACTCTGTAATCATATTATTCCAAATAACAAAAAGAGTTTTTAAGGGATTATGTAATAGATATAATGGTACAGTCGACAGAAAATCGAGTTTCTACAACAGAGAAAATATGTTCCCATTTTCAACCTTAAATTTTGGCAATAAAGTACACAATTGAATGTGGAAATTTGATCTTTTGTAGTAACATCACTGATGCGCACACGAAGTGGTTTCGTGTCGCAAATTTGCTAGTACTAATTATCATTCGAAAATAATTGTGGCATTACATTGAGAAAAAATATGTTTATTACATAATTGATATTTTCAGACTATTTGATTTTGTATATGGTTATTAATGTTTCATTGATGGAATACGTAATTTTATAGTAATTCATGAACGCGCATAAAGTAAAATAAATAAAATCACATTTATTGGATAGTTAGACTGATAAACCTTATTTGTTAAGATTATTTTATTTCTACCCGCTTATTAGTATGATACATAATAATAGTCTGAAATGTCCAAAACAAGAATATTCTCAACTTGATAAATTAAAAAAAAATATATATATAACCTTTTCAGCATAACTTATTTAACAATCAATTTTTACGACTTGTATATTAAGTA